GGGGAGATGTTTCGTTTGTCATTTTTGCTTCAAAATATAAGAAAAGCAGTGATCCTAGTGCCTCTCTTAGCAGAAGTGTGCAGTGTATGTGTTTTGATTGGTGTGGAACTGAGTTTTTAATGGATATTCAAGTATAGTTCCATTATCTGAAGAGTCCTAAAGATAAACAAAATCATTAGATGAGTGTACTTCTGAACAGGTGCACTGTGAGAGGTGTCAGCCAGCTAACTGGAGTGGCATATGCTCCATACAGCTGCTGTGCTGCTGGCCACGCTGAGTGTTACAGGTGGGGCTTTGGGGCTGTTGGCACGCTTCCCACACAGTAGTGTTGTGCATTTGTCTTTCTGCAAGCTCAGATTTCCACTTCCAGAGTACAGCAGTAGTTTTGGATGCAGGTAGGCCAATCGTTTTACCAGTATTCCCTTCCATCTGGTGACATGGACAAGCTTTGCTTAAATAGAGTTGAAGTAATGAACTTTTTGATAGCACTGGAGGAGAAAAAAAAAAAAAAAAAAAAAAAAAAAGGGGTAGTATATTTTACCTGTGAGTATGTATGTATCCTCAAAAACTACTAATTTCCCATAACTTCATTTCATGATGAATAAGGATGCTTATTTTTCAGCTGCTCAAAAAATCGATCCAATTGCTCTCTCTACTCACCTCTGCTATGAAGGAGTTCAGTCAAAGAGAGATCTCCTTTTGAACATCTGAATATTCTGTAAGCCCAAACTTCTGGTTAAACGACATCAAAGCAATTTAAAAAAAAAAAAATGAAAAAAAAAAGATCATCTTCCCACTGCTCTCTGAGCATTTTCGGCATCTTTTCTAGGACAGATGAGGACAGCCCCCAGGAAGTCATTGTTGTGACTTCAGACATGGCTGCTATCCAGGCAGCAGGCAGACAGCTGTGGTAACTTTAGTAAGTGTGACATTCACTGGGCAGAATGTGAGGTCCTGTTGCAATAACATACACATATTTATTTGCCCACACCACCCGTGCTGCTTTTTTGCCTACTAGCAAGATCATATATTTCAGCAGCTATGAGCCAGCACATTGGGAAGCCCTATGGATCTGCAGTGACTTTGTTCCTTGTCTTCCTCCTAGTGGGTGAGTACTAAAATGCCTTCCTTCATTAGAAGAAATATTCCTAGAGCTTGACTTGGAAGCTTCTCTTCCTTTTTTTCAGAAAGTCACTCTCCTCTAAGGGCTCTCTCAGGATGCAGGAAATCTATATCCAGTGTTGGACACTGCATTAAAACATGTTTTTTTAACATGTTGCTTTTTAGTTAATAGGTGTTTATGTCAATATGTGTTTGAATTTGACCCCCAGGATAGAATTCTTTCTGGAAATCTTTACAGAAAGAGTAGGTTTGCCTGTCTTTTTCCAGAAGAAAGGTTGCGTATCATCATTGTTAGAAGTTTTATTTCTATTTTTGGTTCTCTGATGTATTAGCAACCAGTTGTCTTCGCAAGGTAGTTATTCACATCCACTTGTGAAGATCAATCTTAGTGCAGAGCAGAAGTCATATAAATTGAGATAAGCTATGAACAGTCATTGATTGCTTAATCATAGACAACTGGGAACTGGTTAGAGCTTCTAAAGCACTCTTATGGTACCAGCAGAGTATGAAGTTGAGCTCTAAAGCCGACAAAACCATCCAAAATATGGTCATTCTAGGGCGTGAGGATTTTTATGTGTTTTGGAAGTCCCGTTTGCCTTCTTCTCCATCTGTTGAGTGTGAACAAAGGAAAGGAGGCACAACAAGAAATGTCATATTGTGCACTGACCTCCAGCCTCCATTTGCTTCCTTGATGCTGTCAGCAGTTAGCAAGCAAAGCTTGTACAGTTGCTCTGGTGTACTCCAGGGAGCAAGGCATAAGTCAGAGATTTCAGGACTAGAAGAGAGAATAGGTATTTTTTAATCACTTCTTTTGTAATTCCTCCTCCTATTGCCATACTTTGTGTATTTTGCTGTTACAGCCAAGATATGACCCTACATGGGAAAGTATGAACCTGTGGATTGCGTAAAGGGTAGGCTGGCAGATTAGTAGGTGCCCTGTTGTGACCACAGGGAAAATGTGGAGCACGTTGTCACATTACAGGAAGTTCCAGAGAGCTTTCACCCCTTTGGTTGAAAACTGGCCATGAATTAATGACTTTGTATTACAGTGACCTATTAGATCATCTAATCATTTTTCAAGGTCTTGACGGGATCATTCATGCCACAGGTACTCTGCCTAGCTTAAATGCTTTCACCAAAAAGCCTTGCATTTCTCTCCGTGGGGGATTGAGTCCTATAACCCACTTGACAGGATACCCACACATCATTCTGCTAATGAAGCAACCAACTTAAAAAGAGCTTTGAAGCAGACTCAACAAGGCATTTGGCATTAGTATACTGCCAGATGCCAATATGATAAAGGCATTGTATATTTAAATACTAGTGAACTAACATGTTCCTGATTTGCAACCTTACAAAAGAAAAACATGGAAGAAAGGTAGAAAAATAGAAGCTGTGCTGTGGCCTTCCTATTGAACCCGCCCAGAGCTGGGACTAAATGATAGAGCTTCCTCCTTTTGCATTCTGATTTTCCCAATTAAGCTGTAGGTTACCTGATATTTATTGAATCAAAGATATGGGGTAACACAGATGACAAGGTCAGTTTTTTTGTAAATAAAATTCATGATGAACAGAGACACCATCAAAGTACGTTGTTCCTGTACTGTTATGATCTCTTTAGCACTATCTCTGTGTCTAACTGGACAGGGAATATCTGGACCACCGATTACTCTGAATAATTCCAGTGGGCTCATAGGTAAGATAATGCACAGACATGAGGATAATATTTCATCCAGTCTTTTTAATAAGGACTACTTGTTTTAAGGGACTCATAAGTACATTAGCGTTTGGGTTCTTGGTTCTCAAGCTGCAATTGCCACTGATCAGTGATACAGGTACTAGATGAAAATTTCAATTTGACTTAAAAGCACGAAGCACCATACATCTCTGAAGTTTTCTCAGGATGTCTATTTCTTTTACTTGCACAAATTGCTCAGACAGGTGTGTAGGTGATATCCTCCCTTAGGATTATGCCCTCCTAGCACATCAGGTCTGGCATACTGTGAGGTGAGCCAGGCTGAGTCATCAGCTGGTCCCATCCCTTTTTCCCTATCTATTTGTAATGAACCCAAAACACTCAGAATATGGTTAAACTTAATTATTTGCTTTCCAACCACTCAGGAATTTGATGGTGTAT